TGTAAACAAATGAATGATACATTAAATATATGTGCCAAGAAAGACACCCCACCCCCTTTATTATACTGTCCGAAATTCTGTGGTTTATGCACATCACCAAGCAAAGGTAATGTAACACATCACGTGACTACAACAGTCTCCAGTGGTTCTTCAGGTAAGACTTTCCTTTATTTGGCTTCACATAAGTAAGAAAAACCCAAAGAAATTGTGAAATAATATGTTGGGAAAATTAGATATTGTATTGTTGAGAAAACTAAAGTTTGTTTTGATGTTGAGAAAATTAGATTTTGTATTGATGTTTTGAAAATCAGATTTTGTATTGATGTTTTGAAAAAATAGATCTCCTAGTCATGTTTTGAAAAATAGATTTTGTATTGATGTTATAAAAATAGATTTTGTATTGATGTTTTGAAAATTAGATTTTGTTTCGATGTTTTGAAATTTTTGATGTTGAAAAAATTAGATTTGGTACTGATGATGAGAAAAACAATTTCATATTGACCGAACAGTCACAAAAACATCATTTTGTTGCAATTTAAGAAATAACTGACGGCGGTTCATGTAAAGATGAAATATACATGGATTGTAAACTAGCAGACGACACACACAACATCTGCGCAGAAAGATCATTGGCTGCTGTCAAATACTGTCAAAAATATTGTGGTTTTTGTTCAGGTATTGTGTCTATAAATTTACGTTCTTTGGAACAAATATCTGAGATACAGGGAAATATTTATTAAATGTAAAATATTTGCAATGTTAGAACCATTGCAATTTCTTAAAATTATAAATGTACCAATTTAAAAACAAACATTATGAGTAAGGCTGTTTATACGTAATAATGGTCTAGAGGTATACAAATTACTATTTTTAAAATCTATCTTCCAACAATTTTATCACAAAAATTAATGATCACAAATGTCATATGATCCGATAAAGGAACATTATGCCTCAGAATTTATATTTTTTGAAATTCTTTAGAAATACCAAACGTGTTTGATATGTTTTAATAAAAGAGCATGTTAGAAGAAAGTAGCACTGAACTTTCAGTGATGTGTCGTAATTGCAGCAAAGTGTTTTGACTTTTGCAAAGTTTTGACTTCCAAACAAAATTCTAATTCATTAAATATATGCAATTAGAGCAAAAAGTAATTTATGGATATGGCAAATGGAAACTGTGACATAATACCAAAAATAGAAAACGTTTTGAGAAATAAATATTTTAGCATTTCTAAGGCATTTATAATCATGATAATGGGCCTTTGATGTTTTCAGCGGATGGATCCACACTACCGCCACCCAAAGGAACAACAATAGATACATGTATAGACAATGGAGACATAGACTGTAAACAAATGAATGATACATTAAATATATGTGCCAAGAAAGACACCCCACCCCCTTTATTATACTGTCCGAAATTCTGTGGTTTATGCACGCCCTCTGATGGAGGAAATACAAAGTCTGCTTCAACAACATCCGTAACATCCACAGGTACGTGAGAACATGATGCCAACAAAATTAAAAATATAACTTCTTTGATCTATGGTACGTACATGTTTAGCATAAGTATATCTTATATTAGTGTAAAATTTCTATTTGACCAGTAGTATTTTGTTAGTTTTCTGAAGTACCAATAAAGTTCTGCTGGTAAAATGGCAAACGCCTTGTACCAATTGAAGGAAATTAAAACACCATCTTGTGTCTTAACAAAACATGTTAATGAACCGCACCACGACAAAACCAACATAGTTCGTTTGCGACCAGCATGGATCCAGACCAGCCTGCGCGACCGCGCAGCAGTCTGATCAGGATCCATGTTGTTCGCTTTCAGTTTTTCTACTCATATAATAGGATCTGTAAGCGAACAGCATGTATCCTGAATGATCAGACTGCGCGGATGCGCAGGCTGGTCTGGATCCAAATTTTGTGGTTTATGCACGCCATCTAGCGGAGCAAATGAATCAAACCATGTGACATCAACAATTTCAAATGTGTTCACATCAAGTCAAAGTAAACACGAACGTCGATTTGTTTAAGACAAAATAAGTAGATTTATCTTCTCTTGTGAAATAAATACCGTTTAATTTTTGGCGAGCGTGTTGTAATTTCTATGTGTTAATAAACGCTTCAATGGTTATCGGATATCACCGGTTAATATTTAAGCTTAAAGGTCCTCTTCGACATTGTCTTGGTCAATTATTTCATCTGAAATTTGTTATGTATCTAAATTTTCTGTTTTTTATATATTGAGCTATCCGTAGCGCTAGCTAGATGAAAATAACACCTTTTTGACAATTTGGAAAACAGATACTTGTGGATATCGCGTGATATTGCACGCTCTATAAGTTATAATCACGCTACTTTGCAAGGTCGAAGTGGGTCTTTAAACTATACGATTTTAACTCAGGAATGCACGTTTTATTGCCGGGCGCTCAGTTCATTCCTTTGCTAGCAGCCGTGAAGAACACATAAACCCACCCTCCCACCCCATTTTGTATTACAGATAATTGTCGCCTAGTGTTTTATATTTTCAGCGTAACTGGATTATTTACATGCTTTCTACTATGCCATGATCTGTTCCACCTGCCATGCCATGTACGCCTTATGAAACATACCATGCCGTTCTGTTGTTGCCACGCCATGACACCCAAGCTGATCTTTGGTACTGAAATAATTTTCCTGATGGACATTATAAAGACTATATAAACAGTCATTGTCATAGTTCGACATCGTTATAATTTGTTATTATTCTTTGTTGTTGTTGTTTTTGTTAATGGTGATAAAAATCGCAGTGCAATTGTGTTATCTAGTTAGAAGACTGTTGAAGATTATTTCATCTTTTAATTATTTTCTTTTATATTCTCATACATTGTTAAACACAATTTAATCATGAACATTTGAAAAGGAGGTAAATAGCTCTTTACAAGTATTTTGTTGTACAAAAATGTAATTAATCTTATGTATATTCACTATACAGTCGTGACTTTATATTGTTTCATTTAGTAATTTTATATTGAAGGAAAGGCGGCATAAGAAATTGAGATTTAAGTCCGTCACATAGCATCCAATGCCCGGTCGTGAGCATAAAAAGTCTGAAACAGCATTTGCATTTTTCTAAATTAAAGAAAATACGATATCGCCGCGATAAAATTATGCTCACATTTCCTAGGTTAACCGTTTGTAACAGCACCTTGCGTTCTGCGGTTATCTCTTATATTGGTGTTAATGGGCGTGCGCCCTTAACCGTTAGAGGGGGCCTGTGACCATGCGGTCGGCCAGTAAGCCATGTCCATAAATTTGTCTGTGTCTTATTTGGACAGGGTTGCAAAAAATCAACTTGCCGGCCGACGCCTTTAAGTGGCTAGTCGAAAGTTGAAGGAGCAGCATTTGATATGTACGTGTAGGTCCGTACATATCGCTTTCGCCGCGTTGTCTTTGCTACATACCTCTAACACACGGCTTTGTTGAAACAGACATGTAAGTCCCCCTGTCTTTCCGGTCCGGTGCTCAGCTCAGACTCTTTTGTGGATGGCGTTTAATATATATGTATTGTAGTAATATGTACTACACACCTTACCCCTTTTTGTTTCGGCTGTTTGAGCAATTTTTATTTATTTATTTATTTTTCATTTTATTTTTATTTTTTTTTTTGACATGCAAAATGTTTATCTTGTACTTTTTCCGCCTTTTCTTCAGTATAGATGATTATGATTTTTCAATAAAATGAAAGGAGCCCTCAATACACGAGTGTGCATCTCGGAAGGCATTTAATTTTAATACTTATTTCAACAAATCTCTCATTTTAGACTATTAATACTCATTTTTCATTGCAAGAGATCGAATGGGAGCATTTTCGCCCCGCTTTCTCTTTTGTTGTGGATTACCAGTATCTTTCTTATCCTTTCAGGTCTGGTATTTCCTTAACATATTATCATAGTTTACTGCATATTGCGTTGCTATGTTTGTTGCTATGCATTTAGCTAGGACACTCTCTTCATGACTTTTCTCATTAATACTTTATCTTCATTTAGGCTTAATTTTAGTTAATTTTCAATTATCTCTTATTTTATGTGTTACAAGAATTGCATTAAAGTCACGGCCTTAATCCACAACTTTAACTTTTGTTTGTTGTTATTTATTAATGAAGACTAAATCAAAGTTTGTCTAGTCATGTTGGTTTGGTATTGTGATTTCTAGCGCATTTTGTTTGCGCTTGAAATCGCAATACTATATTATTTAGTCACTTCCGTCGCCAATAAATTAAATTAAGTTATGTATAAGTTAAGAACAATGGTAGAAACATACATGTTTTTAGTCGCTTTTTTCTTTTGAAATACAAAACCTTCATTTTTTCATTACTGACTTTGTTTAGGAATGAATACATGTATATCAATTTTGTCTGCTTGTTTACATTGTGTTATAAAACAGTTGTTTTTAATATATATTTATCCAGGTTCACAAACAACACAGACGAAAACCACACAGATGACGACAAAATCATCAACCATACAGTCTACTACAACGAGTCCTCCACCTAAAACACTCCCACCAACAACAAGTAACAATTTACATTTATTCCAAATGAACATATTTTTATAAGAATAACATTTATTTACATACTTCTCTTTTTCTTTTATTAAGCATTAAATGTTGATACAGTGGTACTTTTGTTCTTCGTCATCCTTCCTTTCTATATGTTACCCTTTTGGGCGCCGGCCTCTCAAATAGTTATGCAACTGTTAATCAAGTAGTTTAATTATATATATTTTCATTTTTTTCTACTTATTAATTATTCTATATTTTCTTTTCTATAGCGCAATGTGCGGTATGCTCTGGGCCACAATTTCTGTGTGAAAAATTGTTCCAACCTACAGCCTGTACTCCACCGAACAATTACTGTATCAATACAATAACGAACAAGCTAGATGGCACTAGAACCGTAAATAGAGCATAAGTCAAGAATTATATTACTATTATATATAATGACTTCTCTTGAATTGCTGGAAATATATGGCCGCCACCTTTCAAATCTTATTTAAATTGGATTAGGGTAATGTGTAACAGTATTTAAGATAAGAAATTCATACAGTACATAGTGTGATGAAATAAACTTTTATGAAATTCATAATTGTTTTATATTTAGCTATTTTTTTTTTAACACTATACATAACTTGTAAATTCCGAAAAGAAAAACGAGAAAACAATACTGCTTGAAATACCAAAAAGAAGAAAACAATGCATGGCGAAAAAAGAATCAGTTCCAAAGCAATTATAACTTTAGGGCGGAATGTGTTTTTTATTTTTTATTTTTTCAAGAAAAGATCTTCATTTTTTTGTGTGAAATAATATTTCGGTTTGGCATTCGGGTAAAAAATAAATCTACCAGTCATTCTAAAAATATCAGATACAAATTCTAGATGAAGATTTATGTTGGCTTATATGAAAAATAAATCGCAACACGTTTTCGTTTACTTTATTGACCTACATATTGTCTATTTATGACACAGATGTGGAGATTTTAACACCTGTTATAGAGAATGGTACCTGGGAACATCGGACGAGGACAAGTGTCGTAATTTTGATGCTAACGACCAGCAGTTTATCGACTTCCGGTGTACATTCTGTTGTATCAGTGACAACTGTAACAAACCACTACGTCCTCTAAACAGCGACCTCTACAAACCAGTCTAGTTGTTTGTAAAATTATGTTTATCTTTGAATAAATCTGATGAAATATGATTATTTTTTTATAGGATCATTTTTTCTGAAGTTTACATTTTAATCTTCAATTTTTCTAAAACCAGCTCGAGTTGATGGATGACCACTCAAATACAAATAGAAGGAAGTTTATATTTTATATTGAATACAACAAATGCGTTTTAGATCTGATTTCGTTCGTAAATTCCAACAAATACGCTACTATTTATCGCCAATTTACTGAACACACGATCCGACTGCATAAAAACGTCTGAAATCCCTATGGTGTCTTTATACGCTTTTGTGCGTCTAGTTGGCGCTAGCGACAACACGACAACGCGCCGTCGGACTTTCGGCTTGTCGTCCTGTTGCGAACGATGCACGCCAAACGGCGCGTTGTCGTGCGGCGTGTTGTCGCGATCATTCGAAACTGCCTCGGCTATTATCTATAATAACATCGGAAACAATACGGATTGAAAGTAGTTCTACCACATGGTTTCAGATGTAAACAGAAACAGAGATAATGTAAAACGAAAGTATATATATTTGACATCTAATGTCTGTTCCGGTACTCTTATGCTTGAAAATATGTCTGACAACAATTTGTAATTTAAAGATGCCCACTGATGATCAATTTTAAACAAATCCGACAAAATGTCAACAGGTTGGTTTTTTGTACTTTCGGTTTCTACAGCTATAATAATAAATATATTAATAATGTATTGTTAGCTTTTGTACCTATGAATTCACTTATTTTAGGTGAAAAAGACAAAATTAAGACTTGTAAAAAATTGGCGTCCAATATCTCTACTAAATGTCTCTTATAAAATCGCATCAGCTTGTATCGCAAATAGAATAAAAAAAATCCTTCGTTTGTTTAATAAATGATTTAATTTATGTATAATATTTATATATAATTTAATTTAATTATGATAAATAACTGTAATGTAGCTAACGATTAATTTATTTATTTGTTTCTATACAAAAAAGAAAACATTATGCCATTGCGATAAAACAGTTAAAGTATATGAAACTCGTTAGTTACGGGGGTATAACACTGGCTGGGGCGACATCTCGGGATGTTTCTGCAAAATAAAATGTCTCTGCAAACAAAAATTATTCGTTTGTTTAATACATCAAACCGGTTTTATTTCTGGCCGTTTTATAGGAGAAAATACTAGAAGCTTATATGACCTTTTTCATTTTACAGAAAAAATAATATACCTGGCCTACTTTTACTTATCGATTTTGAAAAGGCTTTTGATTCTCTAGAATGGGCATTTATATTTAAAACATTAGACTCCTTTAATTTTGGTCGCTCTATTAAGAAATGGCTAAATGCTTTTAACTCAAATATAAAGTCGTGTGTTCAAGCAAATGGGCAAATCTCGGAATGGTTCTCTATAAAACAAGGCTGTAGACAAGGAGACCCATAATCCCCTTATATTTTCATTCTCTGTGCAGAGATATTGGCCCTCTTAATACGTAAAAATGACAGTATTACTGGTATTAAAATAGGTAATAAGGAACATCTTGTTTCACAGTACGCAGATGACACATCTCTTACTTTGGATGGTACAGAAAAATCTCTAAAAATACACTTTTGGTGCTAAAATTCTATGCTACTGCCTCCGGCCTTCACATTAATATAGAAAAAAACGTTATTTGGTTTGGAAGCATGAAAGGAAGTAACATTGAATTTCAAATCTGACGTGGGAAAAAGAAACTTTTACTGTTATCGGAATTAAATATTCACTTAATCTGAAAGATATAATTAGCCTTAACTATAACGATAAAATAGAAGACATAAAAGCATTACTGCAACAATGGTCTAAAAGAATTTTAACCCCGTACGGTAAAATAATTGTTACTTAAACGATGGCTCTATCGAAAATCATGGCTCTATCGAAAATCAATCATTTGCTTATTTCTCTTCCTAATCCATCAAACAAAGTTATCAAAGAACTAGAAACTTTATTTATTTTTTTATTTTTTTTGGAACAATTCCCCAGATAAAATAAAAAGAGAAATCATTATAAAACAGATGTCAGAAGGAGGATTGAATATGATAGAATTAAAATCTTTTATTCATTCTTTAAAACTAGGTTGGATTAGACGTATTTTACATGAAAACAAAAAATGGAAAAAAAATCTTTGAAAATTCTTATCCTGATATATGTAATTTTTCCAAATTCGGACCAGATTTTTTTAAAAATCAATTATCAAGAATCGACAACCCTTTCTGGAACGAAGTCTTTACATCATGGTTAACGTTTTATCCGAAAGTACAAATAATAAATTTTATTTTATGCTTTTCAGTGGATTACTGATTTATCCGTGAAAATTATATTTGATAATTTCACAGTGAAAATTATCAAAATATAATTTCACTTTTTTCAATGACGAAACTACTTTTTTAAGATTTTCCCCATGTGGTACCTCAATTTTATTTTTACTGACAATTCTGACAATGTCAGGCTGTTAAAAGAAATAGCAAAGCTGAAATAGATAAATAACTTAAATGTCAAAAGTAATAAAGAGAGAAAACTTACTTCTATTCATTCAAATTCAAACCACCAAATTTCGTCTCTAAATTTTTTTGTTTCGTTTTTACAGTCTGAAAATACATTCCTTCCCCATGCAAAACTGCTCTTGATGACATTTGGGCATATTAAAGTATCCTACAAGCAATAACTGCCGTATGCTTTATGAAAAATTGAAAAGCATTGACAGCCATCACTCGTAGAATAAGTAAAAACACCCAGCGTTCCTTTAGCAAGCTTCCAAGTTTTCCATTTTCCTAGCTCCTTTTCTGAAGGTTTTCACATCTGTCAATACTTATGTTTTGTCTGTTACAATCCTCAAATAAGTTTTCTTTCTTTTAAAAAGGTGTATGACTAACAAATCCAAAGTATATACCTCTAAATCTTACACAATTATTTTCCTCCCATGAAATAAACAACTTTAAAAAATGGCTGCCGCTTACATTTAACAAAGCCAGGTCTAATATAAATTCGCAGTAAGTAACAGAAATATGGATGGATGGTTGGACTTTTTCTCCTACAAGAATTGTTTGTTTTTATTGTTAAAACAAGTGATCATTCATATTTTTTTAATAAAATGAATAAATATCACCGTCATTTAACCTTGATTGGCGGACTTATTTCTCAGCTCAAGACTTCTTGTTTTTAATGTGAAATTCCGTCTAAAGGGGGCTCTCAATGGGGGAAACAAATTTTAATATTAACGTTAAAATGATGGAAATTTCGTTTTAACTTGTTTTAAAGCATAAAATAAAAAGAAAAATTGTCTGTTTGTTGTTGAGATGTAATTTTATTTCATCTCGTGAACTTTAAAAACAGTATTCTCACTCGTGGCTACGCCACTTGTGAGAATACTGTTTTTAAAGCCCACTCGATGAAATAAAATTTAATCTTACACACAAACAAACAAATATCCTCTATAGAATGAATATCTCAGGCAATCCAACAGTGAAGGTCGGAGGCACAACACTCTTTTACAATAACCTATTTCAAAATGGTATAAGTTTTGTCGCTGATTTAATTGATAATAATAGTTTACAAGCTATACAAAATATTTTACAAATTAATATAAATTTCCTACTATATGAAGGACTTTTAAGAGCGCTAATAAATTTAAGAGTTAAACTTGAAATCAATAATGAAACTTTAACACTTATAAACCAATAATCCCAAAGCAAATTCAAGTTATCACGCAAAATGTAAAGGGGTGCCATTCTATTTATAAAAAAACTTGTAAAAAATCAAAAAAAAATCCGAAATCTCAAGATAAATGGAAACATGAACTATCATTACCAGAAAATTTCGAATGGAATAAAGT